ATACTATTTCATTTTTTTTTTATTAAAAGTAATTTTATATTCAGAAATCAAAATTAAAATTTATAATCAAAGATATATGAATATTTATTACTCGACCTGTCAACCATCACAATATTTAAGTGGTATATATATATATGGCCCTCACCTCATTGTCTTTATGAACTCTTCTCTTATGGTTGCAATTTATTTTATTGGCCTATTGTATATTAATGCGTCAAAGTTTGGAAGATATTGCCATTTGGATAACAAATTTGTGCTACACAAAAAATAATTTAATTTCATAGTATATATAAAAATATAAAATAATCCAAACGAAATAAGTTCTATAATTCACGGGTCTAAAATAAACACATTACTAGTTTTGTAATATCACATGATAAAGATAAGCTTGGTCGAGGGTTTTCCTTGTAATAATAATAATATATCCAACAACTAGTATATATGATGGGAATAAGATTTGTTAATTATTAATTAGAAATATAGGATTTGTAGCTTAAAAAAAAAAAATTGGTAATTTTTTATTTTTTTTTAACAAATTGTTGTGAATCATGATTAGCCAAATTAGTGAGTTGGGAATCTCAAGTGGTTCAACAACAACAATTACTTTCTAGTCTTCATCTCCTGAATAAAGTAAAATCAATTATATAAATTCTCGCTATTTCATTTAAGCTCGATTACTCGTGTTGTTATTTTATTATATCAAATAAAATAGAAGTGAAAGTAATAATTAAGTTAAATATATGTTAATACATGTAGTACTGTTTAATAATAATAATAATAATAATAATAATAATAATAATAGAAATCCTCTCACAAGACTAAAATATATTCTCAACTAGTAGATATATTACCTATATAAATCTTTTTTCCTTCATTGCATGTGTCCTATACCTATATATTTAGTTAAATAAGCAATTTATTCAAGAATTTATAGATCTTTCGAGATAATTTCTTTTCATGTGATTTAAATCTATATATTGTCCAATTTTAACACTACTAGACACTATAGTTGTACTTCCACACCCATAAATCGATGCATATTTATGTGTACGCCAAATAGGATCAAACTATCTCAACTGATGCATCGCTATATATAGCTATTTGCATCTTGTAGTGAATGCGGTCATTTTTAATCTTATCTAGCCTTATGTAATTACACATATATTTAAGCAATCACATTTCTACAACACTCATCTTGTGAATCGTTTGATATTAACTTTATATATTAATTACTAGTACCATATAATATTGCTGATTTCTCTTTTTATATTTACTCTACAGAATTGCATTACATAAGGTGATAATCTTTCATTTTAACAATCCAATTTTAATTCTACGAATAACATTTTAATTTATTCTACCATTATCTTGAAATTAACGAGCCTAAATATCTAAAAGAGTGGTCCAAGCAACATTTTAAAAAATTCCCTTTTTTCAAGATAGAGTGCTTCCTTCTTTTTCTTAGAAGAAAAAAAGAGTCCTTCAATTTAAAGCCACAAGATCATCAACTCTCTTTATTTTGTTTCTTGATTTTTGCAGCTTTACTAAAGTTGCTAGTATTTACATCTTCTTGTTTATAAATTTGAATTGGAATTAAATCTTTACAAACAAAAATACACTAAAGTTTCTTTCACTTTAATACTATTGAAAGAGTTGATATAAATTGTTTTTTATTTAACAAAAAAACAAGGAGAGGGACAATATTCATAATATATGTACTCTATTTGGATGTAGAAAATGAATCATAAGAAGACATAAAAAGTCACAGAGAATAATTGTTTGAACAGTTTAAAAAATGTCCAAAATACCAGAGACAATCCAAGTCTATGAGTAGTCAATTGACTCCTCGAACATATATAATGATTTTTGTCACTTTCCTCATGTTTTATTTTTTCATTTTATTTTATATTATACGTTCTGAAAATTTTAAAAAAAATCTATTTACCTTTATTTATAATTTCGTCGGTTTAATTTAGTCGATTATAGTAGGTTATTTTAGTTAGGTAAGATTGAGCATCATATTAAACAAATGTTTATTTGCTCCTATTTCGTATTGATGACCAAATAAAAAGAAGAAAATGGTGATAAGGCTACGATCATTTCTGTTTATTAGGTTCTAAATGAGTTGCTAATACATATTAAGAATTTTCGTCGAAATTATTAAATTTTATCGAATTCATAACTTCAACGGTAAATTTGCTCTTTTTCATTTTAAAAAAATGGAATAGGGAAAATGGAAAAGAGATTGCAAGGTGGGAATTGAACTCACCAATAAGGTGAAAATTCATATAACCAATCAATTGAGCTATAAAAATTAACCGTTAATTCACTTATGTATCTTACTTTCTCTTTTATTTTCCTACACAACTTGTTCACTTATCCTTTTTGATCTTTCTCTCCAAACAATGGGCCAAGAAAAGTATGAATTGGGCTTATTTCATTGATTGATTCTCAAACTTTGCTTTATCTATAGATTGGGTCATTGAGTGATTTGGACTTACATCCTTTGGGCCAATCAAACAGGGCTTTTATTAGAGCCCAAAGATCGAAAAAAGGCCTAATAGGAAGCGTTTCTAAACTAGTCGAGGCATCAAAACGGATAGTAAAAATTAGGCAAATGACATAGTATAAGAAAGAAATTACTTCCTTTCCCTACTCTTTCATTAATTACCAAAAATCCCTTTTTTTAGTGTTTTTCGAATACATAATATAGCAGTGTGGATACTTAATATAGCAGCGCGGATACTTTAATTAATAACGGGTGGATACTTAAATTATTAAGTTGTTAGCAACACGGATACTTAATTAACGGGCGGATGCATAATATAGCAGCGCGGATACTTTAATTAATAACGGGCGGATACTTAAATTATTAAGTTGTTAGCAGCACGGATACTTAATTAACGGGCGGATGCATAATATAGCAACGCGGATACTTTAATTAATAACGGACGGATACTTAAATTATTAAGTTGTTAGCAGCACTGATACTTAATTAACGGGCGGATGCATAATATAGCAGCGCGGATACTTTAATTAATAACGGGCGGATACTTAAATTATTAAGTTGTTAGCAGCACAAATACTTAATTAACGGGCGGATGCATAATATAGCAGCGCGAATACTTTAATTAATAACGGGCGGATACTTAAACTAATAAAGTATCCGGTTAAGTTGAATTGGGGGAAAATAAAGGATTTTTGTATTTTAATAAAAGAGTAGGGAAATATTGAGAATATGTAAAGAAGTGTTGTGTATTTAAGTAATTTTTCCAAACGGATATACCATGGATTTTAATTTTTTTTCCTCTTAAAAAGTGACACTTTTAATTAGAAAGGTATAAGATGCTTGATTGATCCATTTATAATAGAAGTTTTCAAGTTGGTCATATTTTGGCAAATCGACATATTAGAGCCTTGGTATTATTTTTTTACTCAAATATGATTAGTACAGTTGACTCAATTATTAATGTGTGTATATTTCATCTACAAAGGAGATAATAACTACTACAGTACTATATTGCAATTGTCAATTCTGAGTTATAGTAACCATAGGTGTGAGTTGTATTGTATTTGAACGGATCAAAATAGATCTAGTTAATAAATAATATATTGTTGATCCGCCCAAATGTTATTTGCGCTAAAATGAGGGTCACAACTTAACTCACTCAATTTTTACTAAATTTTAATTGCTTTATTTATTCTTTTACATGTTTTAGCAGCTAAAAACTATTCATTTCTTTATCGTTGCTAGATTTAACATATAAAATAAAATAAATATCTTTTTTAAAAAGAACTTTAACAAGATTTTTCATTGGTTAATTTGGGCTATATATCGACCCAATTTTTTACAGGCAAAATAAACTAAGGTAATAAGTAAACAAATCAATAATCCGTTCAAATTTAATAAGTTAGATGAATTATATTTTTATAGGCTTAGAGGGTGCTTGGATTGACTTAAAAGTTGGTCAAACTTAATTGAAAACCAGTTTTGACTTTTAGAATTGTTTGACAAATATAAAGAATAACTTAAAATAAGTTAGGAAGTGTTTGACAAGATCAAAAATGACTTTATATAAGTTAAAAATGACTTAAAATAAGTCAAAAACCAAAAGTAGGTCTCTTACTATTTTTTAATTTTTGACTTATCATTTCAGTTTGATTTTTTATTTTTGACTTAAAAATTACTTTTTTTAAAAGTCAATTCAAACGGACTCTTAGTTGTGACATTATACACAATGGACCTTTAATTTGTTTCCTTGTGTGTGTGATTGTTGTAATATTACATTAGTCAAAACAATATTTGTCAAATTACACCAAACATAAATGAATAGGCCTAAAAGGCAAAAATTCAGTTGAGAACTTGAGATATACATTCCAAAATTTACATTTATGAAGTTTTTCCACATATAGTAGAACAATCAAGTCACTGATTATTGTAATTAATTTTGTAACTAACATTAAATTTAGATAAGAACTTGAGATACATAGTCAAACTTTTTTCCATCAAAAATTAAAATTTGAGTTTTTGGATAGTATCAAAATTAGATAAAGACGGACTTTTTACTATTTGGGTGTTAAATAGCTGATCTTTTTTATCAAGAATCCAATTTTTAGTTCCTGGGTAGTGTCAAAATAGGATAAAAATTGAATTTTTAGTCTTTGGGTATTATGGATAGTTAATCAGGTTATCAAACATTCCATTTTTAGTTTTTGGGTAGTGTCAAAATAGGATAAAGATTGAATTTTTACTCTGTGGGTGTTATTGATAGTTAAATCTTTTTATCAGAAATCCAATTTTTAGTCTCTGGTTAGTGTGAAAATTGGATAAAGATTGATTTTTTACTCTTGGGTGTTATAGATAGTTAATGGTTTTAGTCAAACATTCAATTTTTAGTTTTTGGGTATAATCAAGATTGAATTTTTACTCTTTGGGTGTTATAGATAGTTAATCGTTTTAACTTGGGGTTGTTGTTTAGAAAGGTTCTTGATTAACAATCATGAAAAAGATGTCTAGGGAACTTAGGCAATGGAGAGCCTATTTTAGGTCATCAAACTTGAACATTTTTTACATAATTGAATTTGCTTTAAGAGTAGCAGCCATTGATCACCCAAAAGAGTTTAAATTAAGAAGAGATGGAATTAATGAGCTACTCTTCTCAATTGGGGATATTGATAGTGATAAGGTAGAAAATGTTGTTGATGTTGAGGGTAAAAGAAAGTGTAAAAATGAGTTAAATGATTGTGATGTTGAAAAAAGGAAAAGTGAAAGCAATGTTGAAGTTGAGGCATTGAGTGATGAGATAGAGGAAGAGTCTCGAGTTGTTAACGAGGCTCTATGGATCAAGAAAAGCTATGTTGAAGTTGAGGCATTGAGTGATGAGATAGAGGAAGAGTCTCGAGTCGTTAACGAGGCTCTATCGCTCAAGAAAATCATCGATAACAATCAAAATGAGGTACATATCAATCGAGTGATTTTACTTCACTTCAATTGAACTATTTTTTGCTATTGCTGATTTTGTACATGTTGTCTTGATTATTTTTTTTATACCTTATGAAGTAAGATTTTTTTTTTTCGTCTCTATTGATACATGATTGTAGTTAGTCTTTGAAACAATGTAGAAATGTGATGCCATTTAGTTTCCTTTTTATCTGCTTTGAAATGTTTCTCCTTGAGTCGAGGGTCTTCAGTTGTAAGATTTTGATAGTGTTATGTTCTTTTGACAGTCTGATTCGAATATATATAAGAGCTTAAAGAGGCTTCAAATGATGGCTTTGTCCGTGGAGATTCTGCAGGTTTGATCTTTTATCAATGTATTGATTTGATTGCAATTTCTTTTATCAGCAATTCATACTCAACGTATTTATTTTTATATCAGAACACAGAAATTGGGAAGTCTGTTAATACTCTCAGATGGCACAACTCAAAAAATATTCGATGTCTGGTCAGGAAGATGGTCAAGTATGTCACTTTTTCTTTATTGCTGCTGAACTATGACATGATGCTTCATATAATATAGTTTTGAACAATATTTCTTTCTGAGTTATCGCACCATTTTGTCATCACTTGCAACTTTTGTTGGATTTTCATATCGTTTTCTATTAATTTAACTGCTAGCGTGGATAGTACAGGGAGTGTGATGATGTCCTTACCTTATTTGTACAGTTTTCTGCTTCAGTACTATTAAGTAATTGAAGCATATACCTAGTTTCACCACTTTGTGCACTTAACGGCGACTTTTTGTGTTTGATTGTGGTTATATAAGAAACTGTCGTTGTGTAGAAACATTGATTATTCCCTTACAATGACTTAAATTTGACTGGATGGATATGGTAAACGAGTGTCGTTGTGTTTATTCATTTCTCATGCATCACAGGGGGTGGATTGAAATGGTACAAGAGTGGGTGGATGCTCGAGCAACATTAACAGGTCCTCCAAAATTTAGTGTTCTGTATTCTATGTTTAAGGTCATTATTGAAGTCTAATGTGGTGAGTTGTGAAATTATTGGTACAGAAAGGAAATCTGAGTCTACGAAAGCATTCGTTGTTGATGAAGAAGACGGAGGACTTCCTGCCCCGCCCTTGGAGGACATACCTTTCCTTTTTACGCAGACAACTTCAATCGAGTTGTCACAAGTATGCCTAACGTCTTACCTTTCTTCGACAAAACCATTTATCTTTACCTTCATGACTGACACTGACTCGTTTTCATCATTCCCGATATATTAAATGTAGATCTTTGATGGCATGGATGATGATGGAAGTGAGTAGAAACTTTTGTCCTTATAATAATTTCAAATCTAGTCTTTTCTATTTGATTCTTCATCTAATCGTGGATTTTCTTTCAGATGTTGTAATCAGCGTGGGCGAAAAGGACGAGCAAGAAAAGAAACAAACTTCAGTACTTGTCAAACCAAATATGCCTCCCGGAGGCAACTCAGGACGTGGAAGAACAACTAAGCCAACACTCGAACAGAAGCTCAACAATGATCATGAAATGAAACTCAAGGAGAAATCTGACCAAAGAAAAATTCAAACAAGGCCTGTGTCTACTCAACAAAACGTGAGTATTCGAAGGGTGTGAATTTCTAGTTCATGTAAAACTTCGATTTCTAACTAACAGTTCATCATTTTGTTGTATCAGAAACTGAAATGCCCCGATGAGGATGCAGAACATTTGAAACTTGAGGCAACAAAGAGAAAGCTCCATGAGTGTTACCAAGAAGTTGAAAATGGTTAGTTTGGTTTCTTATTTATCTTTATCTTCATGATTGAAACTGACTCGTTTTCATCATTCCCTATATCTAACTCATTGTGCACTACAAAACATGTCTGATGATATTTCCTTATTAATTGTTCTTCAGCCAAGAGGCAGAGGATTCAAGTAATGAAGTTGAAGGACATACCCAAGCAAGGCTGTGGCATTAGAAAGCCTCATAATAGGCCTTTGGTAAATATGCGTCAATGAATCATTTCTTTTGAACATTTGCCTGCCCTTATTTTATTTCATAGAAATGCCCTGAATTGCAGTTTGCACATCAGAATAAGTGCATTTACATGTGGCTGGATCATTTTGTTTACAAATGATACAAATATGAAAGAAATACAAAAGTTGAACTTGTGCAGCTAATTGTTAATCAAGCTACTTGTGTGGCTCATAATTCATGTCATCCTTTATGTAAATGTAAATGTTTTTTTATTTGGATTCACATCGGAAAGTCTCACTTAGTGAAGAAAAATGCTCCCTATTAAAAGCAACTTTATATGCTGGGAGATTTCTTGTTAAGGATGTAGTAGTACAACGTATCTGATGGTAGAATAGTATATTTTTAATGCACCTATTTGATCATGATCTCTATTATGGTTTCAGACATTCAATTATCATAGTTCACATCTATTGTACGAATTGGTGCATTTGTAAGTCGACGCAAGAAACAATCAAATAATCTCAAACGTCATTTATCCTCAACACATAATATATGTTATTTGCACCTTTTAACTAGTAGTGTAATCAAAATTTTCACTACATGAATTTAAAATATAAAGAAGTTAATTTATGAAGAAGCCACAGAGATTCAACATATATATACACATATAAACGCGCAAGGAGATTCAACATATATATATCTATAATATACAAATACATATACAAAATAAAATTAAAGATTTCGAAGAAAATTAAACTACCTTTTGCAGTACCCTAATCCGCCCATGCATGTTCCTTCACATTAAATGACAATAATAGCTAGCTAGGGACCATTCATATTCAAATATTTGCCATCATATTTCAAGAAAAGGTAATACTAGGAAACATTTCATAATATCTAGCTAGGAAACATTTCTTATTACAACAACAATAACAACAACAAGAAGAAAATAATTCATTAATATAATACATAGAAAAATCTTTGTATAACTACGCCACTTGCCCAAATATCTTATGGACTTTTAGAGAAAATTCGACTATTATAGTGACATGCATAACGTTACATAAGATGACTGTTATGAAGATGTCTGGCTGAAGTGATCATCAAGTGGCATAACTTAGAGAGAAGAAAAGATAGGAAAGCCAGGTAGTGAGTAACCAGCATCAACAATAAATATATTGCCAGATACATAATTTGAAGAATCATGGACCAAATATCTCACTAGTGAAGTCAATGCTGGATCAGTTGTACCAAAAGTTTTAAGTGGAATGCTTCTTTTTGCTACATTTTTTAGCCAATCTTTTTTCATTAAATTCTCAGTAATCTCTGATTTGAAAATACCTGGAGCTATTGTATTCACTCTAATATTGTGTTCTCCCAATTCTAATGCCATTATCTGCAAATTTCATAAACAAAGTTAGTATGATAGGTGTTTGATAAGACAAACGTCATTTTTCATTTTCTAAACATAAAATGAGAAAAGTCATTTTTCCCTTTTTAGTGAAAAAAATATTTTCTAACAACCGAACACTAAAAATGATCAAAAAATGTTTTTCTTGGTACCAAACAAAATTTAACTTTTCATTTAGGGTTAGTTTATAACCTTTGTCATAGTATCCATACCAGCCTTGGAGGAACTATAAGCAATACAACCCGGCAATAAAGCTCTATTTAAACCAGAAAGTGATGAAATATTAATAATTGAGCCTCCTTTTTTTGAAGCTTGCATTTGTCTTCCAACATATTTGGAAACTAACCAAGATCCTGTCAAATTTGTTCTGAAAGTGTTTTCCCACTCTTCCTCAGAAACATCCACTGAAAATTTTGTTCCTCCTATGTATAAACACAAAATAGATTCATATTATATATATAGATATATATAAAATTAAATTAAAGTAGCTTGTGCCGAAAAATAATAAGAAGTGCAATGAATTAATGATCCGAAATTCACGAATATTCTACTCTACTAAGACCAAGATGGATATATTGTCAAAAATGTAAAGGACGTAGGATGAATAATTGGTCAGATCTAATACGGATAATAAGAGTATCAAGCATGAAATCAAGATTTTATTAGGATATTATTTCGGATCTTGTCCTTTCAATAACTTACCAAACAAAGGCTAAGAAAAAAACTATAAAATACATTTTTTTTAAAATAATAATAATAATAATAATAATAATAATAATTATATAAATTGTTGAATTAATCTCCTTTGGTATAAATAAATATTTTATTTAGTGACAAAGCGGTTCAAAAAGTATGTCATGTTATGAGTCGAATCTTAAATGTGATATATCTTTTAGTATTTTAGCTCCATCGTGACTACAAGTATTAAATATAAATATTTTGTGAATTTCATACGAAACTACTTATTTATTCATTCGTGTTTTTACTAACCAAGAACACATACATATTGTTGGTATAAACTTTTTTACGTACGTACCTCTAACGCCAGCATTGTTAATAAGAGCATCAATGTGACCAAAAGCATCCCAAGCTTTCTTTACTGATGCTTCAATAGTTTTACCATCAGCAGTAACATCAAGTTCAATAGCCATAGCTCTAACCAAATGAGAATTTGTATTAATTTCATCACAAAGGGACTTCAACCTGTCCGCTCGACGAGCACCCGCCACGACTCTGCACCCGGACCTAGCTAGGTCAAGGCAGAATTCGCGGCCGAGCCCCGCCGACGCACCGGTTACAAACACCACTTTGCCTTCCAATTGTAGCCATGGCTCCAGATGGTTAGCTACATTGTTCATTTTTTGAGTCCTTGGCTCAACATATTTTGGTACTTGTGTTGTCATTATTATATTGTGCTAGCTATGGGACTTGTTAGAAGTCTCTGTTCTGTTTTTAAGGTAGGTAAGATGTGTACATATATACAAGAAAAATTTCGAATAGGGAACATAAATTTTTTTAATAGAAATTAGAAAAACATGGTCCATGCATATGTATGTGGTTCATAGGTTCTACTAAGGATAAGGGCCCAATGGATCATATTATAAGTTTTATTATCATCAAAAGTTATGCTCGCCTGGTAATTAATACTTCTCCATCTTTAACAAACATCTCGAATTTAAGCTCTAGAAGTTTATAAGAAGTTGTCTTTGATAGTGAGAGATTTTTTTAGTACAAATTCAGATTAGTTGGGCCTTAAAAACGAATTCCTATCATCAAATGGAAACGAAAAGGAAAGAGGTATTACAATAGATGAGTACAAACTACAAAGGGCTAAAGCTTTTAACTTTTGAGTATTTGGTAAAGTAGAGAAATCAGCAGAACATTAATTTCATTTTTAAAAATTATCCAAACACTAAAGAAATATTTAAAAGCTATTTTCACTTTATAAAAAACACTTAAAATAAGTCGATCTAAGGTTAGTAGCAAGAAGACAAAGACTTGTGGAAGAAAGAAGAAAATCACAAGTAGCTTAAACTCATAAAACTAAAACATAGATCAATATTATGAGGGGAACATTTTCTTAAATTAAAATATGATCTATTACACTTTCATTTATTGCATATTTTGTCACCCTATGATGGTCCTATAAATATGGAATTCTATTCTATGAGAAGTCCTAGACATTTTATAATAATCTTAGAGCCCGTTTGAATTAGCTTAAAAAAGTAGCTTTTAAGTCAAATTGAAATAACTTTTGAGTTAAAAAATAAAAAGTATGGGGAAACCTATTTTTGGTTTTTGATTTATTTTAAACTTATTTTAAGTCATTTTTTTTACCTCGCCAAACACTTTCTAAGTTATTTTAAATCATTTTTGACTTATTTTAAGTTAATTTTTATATTTGCCAAACATTTCCAGAAGTCAAAATCGACTTAAAAGTATGTTTGACCAACTTTTAAGCCAATTTAAACACTCTTGTCAGAACAACTAAGTTGTTGTACGTTTGTTTTTTCCCTACAGTACGTAAAACTTGTAAACCACTAGTTTTTCATGACAAAATTTGTCACGATCCAAAATGAGTCGTGCGTGGCACCCACACTTAACCTCCTAAGTGGGCAAACCAAGGAATCCAAATCCCAACATATATCAATAATTCAACTATGAATAACAACAATAATGCGGAAGCTCAAAACTTATTAAAGTAACCAATCAAATAAACCTCTAAAGTCTAACACTTATTATCCCTAAAATCTGAAAGTCATCACATCAAAGACATCTAATTTTCAAATACTAAGTCTAAGAGTATTAAAGACACCAAAATAAATGAATAACATAGTTTATGTCCGAAAACTAAGGACATCATGCCATGACCAAGAGAATCCAACACGAGCTGGAATGAATAGCTTACCCTGGAACTTGATGTGCTGGAGACTGGTTAGAGCTGAGGGCGAGTCGAAGTCACTGATACACTCGATGCACTCTACAAAAAGAAAACAAAGAAAAACACAAGTAAGGCTCAGTACAAGGCAACATGTACTGAGTAGATATTATCGGCCAACCTAAAATAGAAACTAATATGTAATGAATAATAGTATTATAAAATCAACTATGACACTTAGCAGGTGGCAAGCAACAAACACATGAACCAGTGTCAACAACACTAAAGTAATTACGTAATCAGTCAACAATATCAAGATCACATATGAGGACTCATGCCGCTAAACCAAACTAATTTGGGAATTGAGTTCTTTGAGATTGAGTACATTAAGTTAATTCAATAGTTTTTTCCTTTAATGTTACCATGTCGGAACGTGATACTCCGATCCAATTATACCGTGTCGGAACGTGACACTCCGATCCAATAATACCGTGTCAGAACGTGACACTCCGATCCAATTATACTGTGTCGAAACGTGACATTTCGATCCAATAATACCGTGTCAGAACGTGACACTTCGATCCAATTATAACGTGTCGGAACGTGACACTCCAATCCAATAATATCATTAATTTATCATTTATTATCACCACTTTTCAATTCATTAACAATATTTCATCAAGCCTTCTTTATTCAAGGCATCGCTTCGATAGAGAGAGTTCAAGATTATAAATTCCACGGTCTCAGGATTTTAGACCAATCACAAACCACACAACCAAGCTACACAATCACACAATCAAGTACATAAAGAACTTCACAATATCATTCAATGCATATCAATCACTATTAAGAGTCTATCTATCAAATAGAATAAACCATAACTGTCACACCCCAAATCCGGATGTGATGGCACGTGTCCATTTCCCACCGGACACGTCAGCCTAACCCAACCACAACGATAGAGAAGTAGAAATACGAGAATAAAAGATAATAAATAAGCGGAAGACTTGAATTAAGACTCAACACTACCCAGAATTTGGTTGTCACATGTACAAACCTCTAAATACAGAATTCGAATAAAAATATACAAGTCTCAGAGTCTAGTTCTCGAATAGAACAAAACTGAAAGTAAAGATAACTCAAGGGCACGTCTGGAATGAACCGCTACCTCTCGAGTATGTCCCGAAGCTCAATCTGCTAAAGAAAATACTAAGCCGAATCTGAGAGAGAGCTGTCAACCTACACAATTGTGTAGAAGCAAGGGTGAGTACCGAAAACCACAGGTTCTCGCAAGTAACTCTAAACTAAGCAAAACTAGCAGCTACAAACAACTCATTTCAATCCCAACCGAACCACTGAAACTTCAATCTAGCAGCAAACCAACCAACCTATACTAAACAGATCATATTCAACAGCCAGAACCAACAGTATATCCTCATCAACCTCAGATCAACAAATAAGAGCAAATAGATCAAATTCCACATAAGAAGGGTAAACCGATACAATCCACACATCACAGACAAAGATAAGGCAAATGCGATGCAAAATGCAATAATGATGTCATGTAGTCGTGATGCATGTCTGTCCTACGATACACATCTGTTAACGTAATCAGTCCGCGCTGAATACTCAATCAGAACCCATGGGGGCCACACATGGACCATGTATCACCGCCGGAACCAGATCCCATCGGCATCCAAATCGCTAGCCGGAGCTAGTCTCAACTGTGTCTCATATCCATCCATCCTCATATCAGTGTCTCAGAACTCATGCAACAGATAGTTCACACATGGGATGAATAATGAATATGCACATGTCATCAATCACAATCATCTCACGATCACATCATAGTATTACACATCATCTGTCTCAATCACAACCATATCACGACCACATCATAGTATTACACATCATCTGTCTCAATCACAACCATATCACGACTACATCATAGTATTACACATCACCTGTCTCAATCACAACCATATCACGACCACATCATAGTATTACACATCACCTGTCTCAATCACAATCATATCACGACCACATCATAGTATTACACATCATCTGTCTCAACATCAAGGTCTGTATCAATCATAGCCTACTCATGCTCTTCTATCCCCTCAATATCAGTTATCACATGACTTATTCAACAAATTCAAGTCACATTTAACACATTTAGCTCGTTTTATTCCCCATCTTTCATTTACAACAATTTCAATCAACAAATAAAACCCATCCTCAGTCCCCATTACTCCCCAACACAATTAGAAAAGTAGTCATGCGTAGTCTAAGAGTTTTACAAAGTTTGGAAGCCACTTGCCTTAAAACGAACTCCAAAAGTTACTTGACTTGAGCCTTTCCTTTCCGAGTAGAATCCGGATCACGATAATCTATTCAAACAATTATTCACAATCATAATTCGAGTCCAATGACACCAAAATCAAGAAATTTAGGGAAAAAGGGCAAAACGGTCCAAAAGTCTCATATCGGAAAACGATACCCAAATCTGGAAATTTTTGATGTAAAATGATCCTTAAAGTATTTGGAAGCTAATGGTGAAAACCAATTTGAAAACGGAGTTGAAATCAATTCACCAACTCAATTTGAAATAAAATCCACGTTCTTGAAGAAGCCTAAAATATTCGGATCCGAAACCCCGACTCGAAAATGAAATATCTCTTGAAAAACATCTTACCCATGCTTAGATAAGTTCAAATATGAAATTTCATCAAAAACGGAGTTAAGATCGACCTTGAAATTCTCAATTTATCAAACTTTAACTTTACCGGGAAAGTCCAAATTGTATGCGGTTAATATGATGAAAATAATCGATGAATCAATAATTTTATGTTAAAATCAGTTTACCCATAACATAAGGATCGTAAATATACATTTTTCATCAAAAAGGGAGTCCAAATCGATAAAACCCCAATTTTTCCCAAGAGGTTTACGGATAGGGGAAAAAAAAACCAGATAAAGAAATTATGAGAAAATGTCGAATTGAAGATTGAATACTAACCCTCATATTAATTCAAGAAGAAACCCGTAAGAATCACTCCATTCCGATCTCTAGAACTCCCGATATGCTCAAAATACCAAATGAACACAGTCTGAGATTTTTATAACAGTACATGGCTGTTATGCACCAGAAAACAGCAGTTAATCTTTCACTAAAAAGTCCGTAATTTCCTCATACGACAGTGAAATGACCCGATTCTTTTTTGTAAATGTCTTAAATAATGATACGGACCTGCTCGTTCAATCGGAGCTCAATTTCATGCTCGTTTGCCCAGTCAAATATCATTTCTACTCGGTAAATAATTATTTCTTATTTGCGATAAAAGTCCAATCTCGGGTTAGCGAAAATGCACCAAAATTTGCAGATAAGTCCTATAATTCATTCTCAAAATTTCAGAACCTTCGGAATAATTTTTCGACCCTTAAAACTAATAATGAACCCTTTAGTTGCCACAATTTGCTGAAATAGTGTCAAAGCATCCAAGAAGCTTAAAAGCTCACCCAAAA